AGATTTATTATGATACTCTCCATAATATTTACAAAACAACCATGGTAGCCACTTGTTGTGGTGTGAGATATTTTGTCGGGCCTTAAATGACTTCTGGGTCAAATCTGATTAGGCAAAGAAGTCAGTTTGGTATAAACCGTATCAACTACTCTGGAAAAGATTCTGTCATACGTTACATTTCGAAATGGCCTATGCTGGAGTCTTACACTAAGCAGTCGATATGAAATGGAGATCTGACGCAAAACTCACCGGAAGTACCGCCAGTAAACGGCGTTGGGTTCTGAGCTGGGACGTTCTTGCCTGTCACGAATTTCGGGGGTAGGGGCGTGATGGGCTGACCGGCGGGAGGCACTGGGCAGTCCAAGACCTGGCAACAATTGTCTTGTGGGTCTGTGGTCAGCTGGCATCCGGCAGGCACAGCCTGGAAGGTCGGACACCTGTTCAAGATAGAGTGGAGATGAATAATATTAAAGAGCCTTCGAAACATATGATTGGCATACTTGAAATCTGCATACATAGTATCTTTAAAAAAAATACCCCTCAGGATATAATTCTGTTTTATCAATCCCCCCCCCCCACTCCCCACACGCACACACCACACACACACACACACACACACACACACGCACACACGCACACGCACACACACACACACAGACATCTATAAATATCTACATACAGACATGATGCGTATTGTTTGAGGTGAACTTGGTGATGAAAGAAGTGAAACGACTCTGGCAATATCTGACCTGTCATCGCAGTTGATTGTTCTGGCCTTGGCGTCTTCGCAAACACAGATCTTATCACAGCCCACCTTCCAAATCTGGCCTTGTCGATATGGCACACCGTTGTACACGCACACATCTGTATGAAATGAAAAGTGAACGGGATAGCAAATGTCCTCTAAAATTTTACAATCTTATACATCATTTTTTAAAGGAGGGGTACTTAGAATACTTACTGTCAATTCAAGGGTCTAGAATGTGTTACTATATTTCAGATGAAAAAGGAAAACTGGTACACCTTTCATGAACTTTTATCACTAATATCTCGACTGCCTTTTTATGACCTATGCAAGGCCATGTTAATGCAACAATACCAATAATATACCTCATGCATGAATTGTATTCCATTTCATATGAGGCTATTGTTATCATCATAGAGAACGCAGCCCAAATCGTTGAAAGAACAATAGCCTCAAAACCACATGGACTTATACATTAATGACAATGGCAGAAGTGGCGATAATGGCAACACCTTAACAAAACCATCGTCAACAGAATTAGCAACTCAATAACAGCAACAATAATATTTTTACAAATGTGTAACAGCAACAAGTTGTAGAGCCAAAAAAGTCCCCCGACGCACTATGTACGGAAACAGTTAATCAAAGAGTTATAGGCCGGACAATCGGATACAATCCACACCCCCCCCCCCTCTTTCTCTTTCGTCTGTGTTTCTCGCCATCTGTTTCTCGCTTTTTAAAACTCTTTCTCGCTTTCTCTCACCTCTTCTTCCTTCCCATCTCTCTCTTTCTCTTTTGGTCCCTTTCTCTTTTTCTTTCTCTATCTCTCTCAGTCTCTCTATATCAAGCGGATCTCTATTCGGTCATTCTCAGAAATGTTGCATGCAGTATCCCAACAATGCCCAGTTGACAAAAAACATGTAATTGATATGTTGCTCTTGGTCTGCCTCTATCTCTTTTTCTATCAACCAAACGTTCCGATCGGGAAACAATTCTTCGCGACGGGTTATGTGTTCCAAAAGATCTGTTTTGTCTCTTTCTTATGATTGGTATTTAGTATCGTCAATATAATAAAGGCAGTCAGAGCAGCATAAACGTGGCGCTGGCAAAGCATGAAATAAGTCAAACTGCAGCGTCTGCTTGTTTTAGTATTGGTAGAGGTTTTACGGCGCTCGCAACTGCATACGGTCATATTAGCGCCAGAAGATTAAAGGTGTTACAAGAGAGTAACAAACATAAAAAAGAAGAAGGGAGATAAGGACGATAGATGTTCGAAAGGAAAGAAGGAGCAAACCACACCAGAGCACCCGCCAACCACCCACTGCAGCGTCTTCCAGTGTCGAGGAATACAAATATCAAGACTTTCATCTATCGAAAAACCATCCCTTCGCCACGATTTGACTTTTAGTTTAGGATAAACGAAGGCGTCAGTTTTTTTTCTTCTGTATATTAGCTTGAAATAAAGAGAAGCACACCACCACCATAATGGCCTGTTCATGCTGGGGAAAAATGATCCACAAAAACAAAAGCACATGGGATAATTTTTAAAAAATTACACATGAAATTCGCACTCCTAAAACCCCTTCCCTTTCTGGCCCCTTTTTCTGTCCACTAAACAACAATTCTTCTCACCTGGCACTGGGGTTCCCGCTGGGGTTGGAATAAGCCCATCGGGTCCTGGTGTGGGGCACTCTGCCTTCTTACAGCAAGGATTCTGAGGGTCGTACACCAGCTGACAGATCACCGGGAGGTTGGGGTAACGAGGACACCTGGAAGGATCGACAGTGGGAAAATTTTAAATATCTAAAGTTCGAAGTGCATTAATAACATTTAGTGTCACATCAATTCAAAATATAGTAACTGCATAAAATTTCCACATAGTTAATTCAAAGCATAATTAAAAAGCCTCATGTCACATTAGTTCAATGTTCTAAAATAGTAGACAGAAATATGGAGATTCAAAAGTTATGGTCAAAGAAGTATTTAGGATTTTAGAAATTGTACGACGTTCCATCTCCACGGCTTCACAAGGTGTTATATGTGGTATCGGTGCAACGTATAATTGACAGTGGTCTCCTTTGCACATTTTCCTCGCTACACCAATAACATTCTTTCTTAACATAACGTCAGTCGTTTCGGCAACGAATGAAGCACAACAAGAAGTAACAATTGAATAAATAAGTTATATGCCCTAGCTAAGTAAGACAGAATTTCTTGTGATTGCAAAATCGAAAAAAAGACAACGAAAAACTGTAAAAAGAAACAAAAAGTTCCAAATGAAGACACAATTGTTCAATTTGAGTGTGAAAAGTTCAAACCCTTGAAGATGAAAAGGTTTATCTCAAAGACTATTAAGGTCAAAACAGAAACAAAACAGTTCAATATAAAGACGTAAAAGTTTAAGATGAAGACAGAAAAGGTAAACACACAAAGGCAAACACATTCAAGGTGAAGGAAAAGCTATTCATATCCAGCAGACAATAAAAGCTCTTCATGAAGACTAAACAGTTTTATAATAAAACAAAAAGGCTCAACATTTAGACAAAAAAGTGGAAAATAATGACCCCCCAAAAATAGCTCAAGACGGGGTCGAACAAGTTCGAGATGAATTAAAAAAACAAACACTTTAAAGATAGAGATCTAATAGTGTTGATACACCAGTGCCATTTCACTATGTTATGAAGGGGAAGACCGCGTGGAAACTGGAGAATAATCACAGAAACTGAGGTACAGAAAAGTGGGAAGACATGGAATAACATCAAGAGGCTAGCTAGCCCAGGATAGAGAAAGGTGGAAAGTGTTGGTTCGTCTCCTTTTCCCTGGTGCAGAGAGAGAAAGACAATGATGATAATTTCACTATGCTAAAAAATAAAGTAGGAAATGTTTCAAGACATGATAAAAGAAGTGAGTGGAGGTACTAACTTGTCGGTACACTTGTACTGGCCGCTCATGTCGTCCAGGCAGACACACTCGAACTGACAGCCATCCTGCCATGTCTGTCCCTTTTGGTAGCGACTTCCCTTGTATACACACGCGGGAGGGGGAGCTGGGGGGGTGGGGTGGTAGGGGGTATGAAATGAAAAGTGAACGGGATAGCAAATGTCCTCTAAAATTTTCTTCTCGAACACTTAAGAGATCACTCAGTAAAAGGAAGCAGTATTACCAAATAGATCGCAAGCAAACAATGGGGAAAAATAATTCAAATGAAAGTATCAGACATCTTTTCAACGCACGAGGTGGTAGCAACACAATAATAACAATAATAATTTGAAAAAGCCCAACATGATTGATTCTACAGTGTAAGAGATTACGATGAAAGAAAAAAATAGGTAAAAGTTAAAGTTCAGTTGCCACCTCCCC